GGCCGTAGGAGACCAGGATGAGGCCCAGAGGCAGGACCACGAAGAGGAAGCTGGCCAGGTACATCTCCAGCTCGTTGGGGCTGGTGTCCACGCAGGCCAACCTCATGATGAGGGGCATCTCACAGAAGAAGTGGTCAATGCGGTTGTGGCCACACAGCGGCAGCAGCAGAGTGAGTGTGGAGCCCACCAGGCTGGTGCTCAGGCCCCCAAGCCACGAGGCCAGGGCCAGGCTGAGGCACAGCCGAGGGCGCATGATGACCGTGTAGTGCAGGGGCCGGCAGACGGCGGCATAGCGGTCGTAGGACATGGCGGCCAGCAGGACACACTCGGTGGCCCCCAGCCAGTGGGAGAGGTAGAACTGGACCACGCAGCCCACATAGCTGATGGTCTTTTGGGGGCCCCAGAGGTTGGCCAGGAGCTGCGGGACGATGCTTGTGGTGAAACTGAGGTCCAGGAGGGAAAGGTTGGTCAGAAAGAAGTACATGGGTGTGTGCAGGTGCACGTCCACACATGAGACCAGGACAATGAGGCCATTGCCCAGGAGAGACATGACGTAGAACCCCAAGACAACCACAAAGAGCATGGGCTCCAGCCAGGGCCGTGCCGAGAAGCCCAGGAGCACGAAGATGGCGGGTGAGCTGGTGTTGGCCCCTTGCATGGTCATGGGCAGGGGCGCAGGACACAAGTTGTGCGGGGGTGATGTCAGCAGGTGGCTGAGGAGTGGCCCCCACCCTTCCCTGCAGACAGCTTGCTGCGTTTGACGGAAGACTGAGGGCAAAACAGGTGTTCCCGCAAAGCTGCTGGTGTCCGTTTTCCAGTCACTATATTGTGATGGCCACCATCCCTTCTGCACTCCCACTGAGTCTGTCCAGGCCTTCGTCCCTTCTTGCCGGGTTAGCTACCCGTGGCCAGGCTGGTCCTCACCTGAGTGGTGGCCCTGTTCTGTCCCGCCTGTCACCTCCCCTTCCAGGTCATTTTTCAGGGTCCTCCTTCTGCCCGAGCCCCACTCTCCTGATCCTGGTCTGAAGGCAGCAGCTGCTTGCTGGGGACAGGTACGCTGTTGTTGATGCCTCCTCTGCTCTGTCACTGATGCCACACTTTCTGTCCATTCAGTTCACTTCCTATCCAGGTCTGAGCCACGGAGGTCCCTTCGTCAGCACTGGTGGCAGTGCAGACAAGAACACTGCTAAGGAGTGTTACTAGGCTGCCCTCTGGACAGGACCAGCTGCAAAATCATCTGTCAGCCACCACCTCTCCAACGACAAACTGATCAGGGCACAGGGTAGGGACTCCCCTGGGTGAGCACAGGCCGGGGGCCCAGGGCACCTGACCAAAGCCACATGCTGCTCCGACACCCAGACGGCAGGGGGAGCTGTGAACTCAGCAAGGAGCCCCTGCCTGAGGCTACAGTCCGGCTCTTGCAGCTGGGCCCGGCCACCACAATGTGGATGTGAAGGAAGGGTGAGTGGGCTGAGTGGGAGCAGTTACCAACGGCTGGTCCTCAAGGCTCCTGGGGTGGGGCTGGGGACACGAGGCCACAGGTAGAGTTGCCTATCACAACCCCACTGCCTCTGGGGGTGCCTGAAGCTCCAAGCTGCCCTGTCCCCCGCACAGCAGCTCCGGGAGTGAGTCCAGCTCAGATGCTGGCTGGGCTGAGTCTGTGTCCCCATGCGCATGTAGGGGCCCGGGAATTGGTGCTGAGAGCACGTGTCCATAAGGCCTGGAGTGTCACTCACCAGGCTGAACTGGCTGTGGTGGTCCTTGTGTGCTGCTGGCAGGATGGTCACTGGGCAGTGCCCTGGCTTGGCAACCCTCTCGGTGTCTCTAGGCCGCATGGGCACAATGACTGCTCAGACTGTGTCTGTAGACACAATAACCGCTGCAAGCCAGCAAAAGGAGCGGGATTGCCCCGAGGGAGAGTGGTCCTCAGAGCTGTGAGTGCTCAGCTCACTCCCTGGTCCCCAGTGCCTTCTGGGGAGACAGAGCATGATGTGACTGTCGGGGGACATGAGGCGGGGGACCTGGGGACCGTCTCCCTGTAGACTAATTATGCTCTGCCTGGGAGGAGCACCACGGCCTGCTTGTGCGCAAAGCCGGGGACCTGGGGGCCGTCTCCCTGTAGAGTAATGACGCTCTGTATCACGGCTTGCTTGTGCAGGGTCAGCAGCTTTAGGCTTTTATGGAGAAAACAGGGATGAGGCAGTGTTTATTCATGGGATGCCGACTGTTTTTGTGGAAAAAGTATGCTTCTTCACACAGTGAATGAAAAGCCACGTGGTAAATTGCCGCAGAGCTGTTTGAGAGTGTGAGTCAAGTTGCTATCAAGTTCCAGAATCTCCCATGCCCCGTGGCCGCATGCCCCCATGGGTAACCTGTACCCGCTCTGTGTTAGCATGCCCCCATGGGTAACCTGTACCCGCTCTGTGTTCGCATGCCCCATGGGTAACCTGTACCCTCTCTGTGGCCGCATGCCCCCATGGGTAACCTGTACCCTCTCTGTGGCCGCATGCCCCCATGGGTAACCTGTACCCGCTCTGTGTTCGCATGCCCCCATGGGTAACCTGTACCCGCTCTGTGGCTGCATGCCCCCGATGGGTAACCTGTACCCTCTCTGTGGCCGCATGCCCCCGATGGGTAACCTGTACCCGCTCTGTGTTCACATGCCCCCGATGGGTAACCTGTACCTGTTCTGTGGTCGCTTCCCACCTGCTGACTCATCCTATCCGTGGTGACCAGTGCTGACTGTGTCTGCGGATTCACCTGCCTGAGGTGTCACTAGACTTGCTAGACTTGCGATGGAGTCGTGCACCGTGGGGCCTTCATGTCTGGCCGTTGGCTTCTGTGTAGTGCCAGTTGTGGCATGAGGTGAGTGGCCGTCTGCTCTGTAGCTTGCTGTGAACGGGGCTGCTGTGGGCATCTACTCTAAGTCCTCTGAGTGCCCACTTGGGGTGCACGTGCCAATCTCACTGCAATTCCAGGGTTAAATGGTTGTGCACGGATTAGTCATACTCCTCTCCACACCTACGCGTGATGAGGAACCCAGGTTCTCCCCATCACTGCCAGGGCCTGTTGTGTGTACTTTCCAGGGCAGTAGTGTCGGGGTGAGGGGTGGGAGGGAGTGGAATTTCACTGTTCTGATCAGCATTCCCTTCGCGACTGATATGGTATTAGGCCATGTGACCTGCTATTGAGTACTTCCTTTCTTTGGAGAAACATCTGTGTAACACATTAAAAGATTTTTTTTTTTTTGCTTACTTTTATTTGAAAGTCAGATTTACAGAGAGAAGGAGAGACAGAGAAAGATGTTCCATCTACTGGTTCATTCCCCAAATGACCACAACAGTTGTAGCTGGACTAGTGCGAGGCCAGGAGCCAGGAGCCTCTTGTTCTCCTACGCAGGAACAGGGTCCCCAGGCTTTGGGTCCTCCACTGCTTTCCCAGGCACATTAGTGGAGAGCTGGATGGGAAGTGGAGCAGCCAGAACTGGTACCTTTATGGGATGCTGGTGGGGGCTTAGGTTGCTACGCCACGGTGCTGGCCCCTGGCAGCAGTGTTTTGAGCTGTGTTTGTGTGGGAAGCCAGGTGCAGTAGCTGATCCTCCTTTTGGCATTGTGAAGTCAGTGGGTGCCTGTGTGTGTCTATGGTGCAGACAGATAAAGTAGGCCCAGGTTTGTTGCTATCTACCTGCTTCTACTCTTGTCCTCACTTTCTCGGCTTTCTACACAAGGCCCACCAGTGGTCAGTGCTCACCAATGGTCAGCTCAGCAGTGGTCAGCGCCTAGCAGTAGTCAGCACCCAGCAGTGGTCAGCAACCAGCAGCAGTCAGCACCCACCAGCGGTCAGCACCCACTAGTGGCAGCGCCCAGCAGTGGTCAGCACCCACTAATGCTCAGCGTACAGCAGCAGTCAGCACCCATTGCTTCCTTGCCTTTTGGCTAAGATCAAGTGTAGCAGTTAACACCCAGCAGTGGTCAGCACCCACCAGTGGTCAATGCCCATAAGTGGGCAGTGCCCACCAATAATCAGAGAACAGTGAGAGGCCAGGGGAGTGGAGAACATCTGTGCCTGCTTGGAGAGGTGGAGCCTATACTAGCTGCTGGGTAGACCAGGGGAACTCCAAACAGAAGGGTGTCCTGGTGGGGGCCCCAGAAGGCTTGTGTGAATTAGGGGTGCCCTGGCCAGGTCCAAGGGGGTATGTGGCTCTGCTCTTCTTCATGTCTGCTTCTCATGCGTGTGATCAATGTGGCCTGCGGGCATTGTCACTGGGGGTGAAGGAGTCGGGCTGTGGACCCTGTGGTCTACTGGGTGTTGTTGAGGCTGTGGAAACCCAGCTGCCCACTGGGCCAGCTAATCCGCCACGGGCCTGGGCTCTCCAGCTTATCTCTGGGGCCAGCTGGGGCTGTGGCTGCCGTGGGCGGTGCTGGGAAGGAAGTCAGCAGGGCGGTGGGCAGGTCCTTGGGGCTGCAGCCACCCTGAGTGTTAGCAGGAAGAGTGGGGCCTTCTCTGCACGCCTACCTCTGTGCCCAAGCCCGGGCTCTTGTGTTCCTGTCCTCACCCTGACCTCCTCCCTTTGTGTCGGTCAGCGCTGGAAGGACAGTGACACTGGGCTGGGCGCTGGTGTCCAAAGTCACACAAAGACACCTTGATTCCTTGCTTCTGTTTTTCCCAAGAAATGGCTCTCTCTCCGACAGTTTGCAAGGCAGTAGGATGTGGGGGGGCAAGGAGTCTGGGTCTCAGACCTCTGAGGAGTAGGTGAGACCCCACCTGTCCAGTCTCACTGCTGGAAATGGCATGGTGGGCAAGGGAGCAGTTCTGTGGCCTTCATCCTGAGGCTCCTGCCCACACATGTACACACGTACACACATGTGCTCCCACACCCACATGCACAGTTTTCTGGCCCCTCTCCTCCCTCCTGCAACGGTTCCCGCCTCCTCTGCTGAGCCCGCCCCCTGGCAGCGTGGTTGGGTGGCCTGGGCCTGTGGTCAGAGCTGCGTCAGGCCCTAGGCACTGCGCCTGTGAGGGTAGTCCCAAGCCCAGTCAGGTCATCTGCACCACCCAGGCCACCTTGGAGGATGGGAAATAACCTCCGGTGAGTGCCAGCCTGGGCAGCATGGGCTTGCGGGAGAGAACCTGAGACACTTGCCTGGGTGGGAGGGATAAGAGCAGCCGGTGTGTGGACGGTGGTGGGTGGCCAGGGCGTGGTGTCGGGTGGGTATTGCTGCTTGCACTGTCCTCAGGCGGGGGCGATTTGGGTCTAGCTGCACATTCTCCATTTGACTCCAATACCCGGCTGCTATCTCTGGAACTTTCCTGCTCCCTCTTGTCCTCGTTGGACGCAGGGCTCGCTTCAGGGCGTCAGCATGAGGGTGAGGGTGCCCCCCCAAGGTGCGTTGCAGCGCCTGCTGGGGTGCTTCCATTGCACAGAGCAGGTCCCATGCTGCTGAATCAGAAAGGCTGGCTGAACTGTCTCCCCAGCCCCTCCCGACCACACAGGTCTGCCCACGGCAAGACTCTGCTCTGTGCCCCTACGGCCCTGGGTCCTCGAGGACACTTATCCCCAGGAATGACATGGCTTGGATTTTAATAAATTGTTTATTAATGTGAAAGGTAGAGCTGCAGAGAGAGGGTTAGAAAGAGGGAGAGAGGGAGAAAAGGATAGAAAGAGACAGACAGAGAGAGGGAGATGGGGAGAGAGAGAGAAAGAGGGAGAGAGAAAGGGAGAAATGAAAGTGGGGGAGAGAAAGAGAAAGAGTAAAGAGAGAGGCAGTAGGGACATCTTTCACCCACTGGTTCAACAGCTTGGGCTGGGCCAAGCTGAGATCAGGAGCCAGTTCTCCCACAGGGCCGCAGAGGCTCAAGAGCTTGAACCGTTGTCTGCTGCTTTGCCAGGTGCAGCAGCAGGCAGCTGGATGGGAGACAGAGCTGCTGGGACTCAAACTGGGTGCTCTGATGCAGGATGCTGGTGGCTCGAGTGGCAGTTTAGCCCGCTGCACCTCAACCTTGCTTGTGTGTCAGATTGCAGGATCTCAGACACTGTTTAGTCACTCCCTTCCTTTTAAATTGATTCTTGTACTAAGCTGTATTTGCTTATCTGGAAAGAGTTACAAATAGAAAGTTACAGAGAAAGGAGGAAAAGGAGAGACTGTGCATATGCTAGTTTGCTTCCTAGCTGGCTGCAATGGCTGAGGCCGCACTAGGCTTAAGCCAAGAGCTTCTGCGTCTCTTTCATGGGTACAGTGTCCCAAGACTTTGGGCCATCCTCTGCTGCTTTTCCAGGTGCATCAGCAGGCAACTGGATGGGAAATGGAGCAGTCAGGACTTGAGCTGGCCCCCATATGGGATGCTGGTGCTGCAGGTAGTAGTTTAAACCCCTATGCTACAGCACTGGACCAGTCATTCTCTTCTTGTCTTCTTGTCCTCTGGGCCTTGTCTTCGCCATCCTGCTCAGCTGCCAGGCTCTGACTCAGTGTCCCCTGGCCAGCAGGGAGCTCTCAGGTGCCCTGGGGAGCTCAGCGTGGAGCTGCATGTGTGAAATGGTCAGTGAGGTGCCATCTCCTGGTAGACACCATGCTCCTCTCAGCTCTACCACTGCAAGCCTTGCTCCTGGCCAACAGCCTCTGGCTCCAGCACTCTTGGTCTCCGCCCTGCATATCCCGGTCCCTGCCGTGTCCTCCTGCTGCTGGCGGTCACTCTCTCTGCCCTGCACGCCCTGAATGCCCTGGTCCTCGCCATGTCCTCCTGCTGCTGGTGGTTACTCTCTCTGCCCTGCATGCCCTGATCCCTGCTATGCCCTCTTGCTGCTGGCGGTCACTGTGTCTGCCCTGGTCCCTGCTGTGTCCTCCTGCTGCTGGTGGTCACTCTCTCTGCCCTGCATGCCCTGATCCCTGTTATGCCCTCTTGCTGCTGGCGGTCACTCTCTCTCTGCCCTGGTCCTCACCATGTCCTCCTGCTGCTGGCGGTCACTCTCTGCCCTGGTCCCCACTGTGTCCTGCTGCTGGCGGTCACTCTCTCTGTCCTGGTCCCTGCTGTGTCCTCCTGCTGCTGGTGGTCACTCTCTCTGTCCTGCATGCCCTGATCCCTGTTATGCCCTCTTGCTGCTGGCGGTCACTCTCTCTCTGCCCTGGTCCTCACCATGTCCTCCTGCTGCTGGCGGTCACTCTCTGCCCTGGTCCCCACTGTGTCCTGCTGCTGGCGGTCACTCTCTCTGTCCTGGTCCCTGCTGTGTCCTCCTGCTGCTGGTGGTCACTCTTTCTGTCCTGCATGCCCTGGTCCCCGCTGTGTCCTCCTGATGCTGGCGGTCACTCTCTCTGCTCTGGTCCCTGCCGTGTCCTCCTGCTGCCAGGGTTGGGCTTTCAGTTTCTTTGATTCCCGTGCTTGTGGCCTACCCTCTGAGATGGTGGTGGGGAGCTTGGTCCTGTGTGCAGCACTGCCGTGGAGATTCTGAGTGTTTTCTGGTCTTCGCAACTCTGCTGTAAGGCCCAGGTGCTCTGGGGAGCAGTGACACCTCTCCATCAAGCCCTGGGAGCAGAGGCTGCAGTTGGAGCTGCTCAGTTCTGGCTGTTCCCTCCCCACACTCTTGACCACTTCCCTGGTAGCTGTCCCCTCTCTGGAGGAAGCCGTGGGCCTGCCTCCCTCACAGAGGGACAGCGTGGAGGACTGGAGCAGGATCCAAGGACATTTATACTTGGCTGGGAGGTGGGACAGAGACAGAGTCTGGTGGTTGTAACCAGCAAGGATGCCTCATTGTTCTGTCCCAGGCCTCTCCTACACCCACTGCACTAGGCAGCCCGTCACTGGCTTAGGTCTGTTCTGGAGGATTTCTTCCAGCTCCTGTTGTCAGGTGAAGGAGCCAGGCTGACCAGCTTCAGGCTGCTGGCATCGGGCGGCAGGGAGCCACAGAGCCACCAGCCTGGGCTGTTCTGCATGGCTGTGGTTGCAGCCTCCCTGTGGCTGTCCCAACATACACCTGGTGCTCCCCACATGTTGTTGAGCTCAAGAAGGCAAGAGGCTTTCAGAGCTCGGAGAGAAGGACCACGACAACAGCATGTAGCTGACAACGTGCACTTCTGCATCATGTCCACCAGGCCAAATGCCCAAGTGACAAGCACACATGCTTTCAGCCCTGGACAGCCCTGGTCAGCCCTCGAAGCCATGGATAGCCCTGGTCAGCCTTGGTCAGCCTTGGTCAGCCCTGGAAGCCCTGATCAGCCCTGATCAGCCTTGGTCAACCCTGATCAGCCTTGGTCTGCCCTGATCAGCCCTGGACAGCCTTGGTCATCTTTGGTCAGCCTTGGCCAGTGTTTTCTTAACCAAGTTTTGAAAACATTTTTTAAAAGAATTGAGCAAAGCCAGCTTTCTTTTCAGAATTAAAGTGCAGAACAAATGGGAACATTTATGGGATACAAGCTTCATAAGTGACTTCCACAAACAGTGCAGTCTTAGGTTTTTAAGGCCTTTCTTTTACCTTTATTCCCAGTTATGCCAATGACACAGCAACCTTTTTAATGGTAACTAAACTTGTGGATTATACGTGGATAGGTGTGGGGCTCTCAGGTGTCTGAACATCCTAGGGTCTCTGTGATTGGCTTTTCGGAGATGACAGGTAAAGGGAGAAAACCAGGGCAGCCCACATCCCTCTGGTCATAGGTACCCAGAGCTGCCATGTACCAGTACTGAGTGGCCACCTTGGAAGCATGGCTGGTCTGTGGGGTAGGACTCGGCTCCTATCTGAGCAAAGATACCAGATGAGGGAGGGTGGGAATCCAGCCTGGAGGGGAATTTGTGCAACCGTGCAGATGAGGGAGGGAGAGAGGGAGGGGGGGAAGGATGGAGGGAGGGAGGGATGGACAGATGGAGGGAGGGAGGGTCCCCGCCTGGAGGGGAATCTGTCCATCCCTGCAGAGGGGAAGAGATGGAAGGAGGTAAGGATGGAGGGAGGGAAGGATGGAGGGAGGGAAGGATGGAGGAAGGGAGGGATGGACAGATGGAGGGAGGGTCCCCGCCTGGAGGGGGATCTGTTCATCCCTGCATTGGGCCCAGCAGGTGTGTTTGGAGCCACGCCCAGTGCTGGACACTGGATGGGACCTCTGAGGCTGGGTCAGGGGTTGGGGAGGGACACTTCATGTGGAACAGGCTTCTGAGGCTTGTGTCCTTCATTCTCTGTTGCTAATGTTAACGAGCAGGCTGGGCTGGCACCGGTGGCTTCGCTCCTCATGGAGGGAGCTGGAAGAACAGGGGCGTGCTCAATTCCCTTGCTTGGTGTGCCTTCAGAGAGTGGCCACAAGCTCCTCCCCTGTGTGTTTCCATCCAGCTGCCTGGGAAGGAACCGGAGGAAGCGCAGGGAGTCTGGCCCTGGCGGGACGAGAGAGCGGTAAGAGAAGGACGCCTGTCTCCTGCAGGGTGTGCCCCTGGGCCTCAGCCCCCCTTCCCACCCTCTCCCCCCAACCCCGGCCTCAGGCCCCTCTGGGAGTACACACTGTTTGCCTGTGTAGACGCTGCCCCCTCACCCCTCCTCCTGAGCAGCCATCCAGACCTGGCTGTGCCTCAGATCCTGAAAAACTCCAGGGCATCCAGCACCAGGCCTTGCTCCTCCCTGGAGTCTGCAGGCCCTGCTCACTGCTCTCCCAGCATCCTTGTTATGGCCAGACACTTGCTCTCCAGGGTGTCTGGGGAGCCCTGCCCAGGTGTCTCCAGCCCCACCCTGCCTACACCGGCTGTGTTGTCATGGTCCCTCAGGCTGTCTCCCTTGCCAGGCCTCAGGCATGGAAAGCATTGGGTACCGGGATGCTGGTTCTTTGTTGGATGGGTAATGTGCCCTGCTGTGTTTTCTGGCTACGAGCTGGTCAGTTCTGCTTCTCCTCCTTGTTGATGGTTTTGTCTCCAGGTCCTGGTTTCTGTGCAGGATGGACTATCCATGGGCAGGGCTGAGGGTAGCCTGCTTCTGGGAGGGGCACTGCTGTCGACCTGGGATCCCGGAACCTGCTGCTGGGAGGGGGTGCTACCAGCGGCCCCCAAGCCTGGGTTGCTTGTGGCCTCTGAGTCAGGCACTCACTCACGGCATCAGCAGGTTCTTACTGAGTGTTTGCTCCATTATGTCTGAAATGAGGTCTGCACCAGATGTGCCAATTCCTTCCTGTTAAAGAACCAAGACCAAACAGTTAGCGTAGGAGGGAGTCCTGTGCTGCGAGTGGCCTGAGGCAGTCAGCTGGGCCGGGGCTGAGTGACTGTCCCTGAAGTTCTGTGTGTGGGTTCACGGGGGAGTGAGAGGTGACTGTGCAGGTGGTTAACTTCACAGCACAGGGGCTTTCTTTTCTTTTCTTTCTTTCTTTCTTTTTTTTTTTTTTTTTAACAAATGAAACCTCTTTCTTTTTCTTTCTTTCTTTCTTTCTCTCTCTCTCTGTCTCTCTCTCTTTCTGTCTTTTTTTTCTAAATTTCCTTTTTTTTTTTAAATTGGAAAGGCACATTTATAGAGAGAAGGAGACACAAAAATTTTCTATCCACTGGTTCACTCTTTTAATGTTTGCACAGCTGGAGCTGAGCCAATCTGAAGTCAGGAGCTTCTTCCCGGTCTCTCACATGGGTGCAGGGTCCCAAGACTTTGGGCCATCCTCTACTGCTTTCCTAGGCCACCAGCAGGGAGCTGAATGGGAAGTGGAGCAGCTGGGACATGAACCTGTGTCCATATGGGATCCTGGTGCTTGCAGGGGGGAAGGATTACCCAATTGAGACATTGTGCACGGCCCACAGCATGGGGCTGTTTGAATAGAGCTATTATTTGCCTCTTTTCCCGAGTCATATTTGGCTATTTTTACCCAAATATTGTCCAGTTCATAACTTGAAATGTAGTAACAGGAAAGATGAACTTCAAGATATTTAACTTTCAGAGTTTGGGGTGTGGATGTGCAATGACCTCCGCCCGCAGTCTCAGCGTGGCTGGCTGGCTGCACACGCACGCAGCCGTGTGACTGCCAGCACAGAAGATAGGGAGCAGTCCCGCCACCGCTCAGCCACCACCGATCTGATTTCCGTTGGGCCTTTTTTCCGAGACGTCATAGTCTGCCTTTATCTTTATTACATCCTTAATTTTTTTTTTTTTAGTTTTAGAAATTGTTGCTATTTTACTAATTTGTGTGCAAAACTTATTTTTGGAGCTTTCAAGTTTTCTTGCTTAAGAATGGGAACATTTAAGTGGTTGAAGTTCTGGCTCTGTGCATTTTTTCTGGAATCTGTGGGCTGTGGAACTTGCCAACCTTTTGCGTTTTCTTGGATAGAAGTGGTTTTTAATTTCAGACATTGTTCTAAGTCCTACATGCCATTTTGGTTTTAATTGTCGCTGGTATCTGTGGTCTGTAATATTTCTGAGCTGTGGATTTCACTAGTCTTTGTTGTCACATATGTTAACTCTGCGACAAGCACGTTGCACTCTTTGGATGCTGGTGTCTTCGGTAAGTCGCTGTAACCACAGACAGGACGTGGGGCCCGGTGGTCAGGACACGCCTGGGTGGCTGAGTGGCTAGCGAAGACCCACACCCATGAGGGCCACAGGTGAAACCTCATAATTTTCAAGTGTTTTGTTACAGACAAACAGTTTTCTTTTTAAGATTTACTTTATTTCAAAGTCAGAGTTATAGAGACAAGGGGGAGAGAGAGAGATTTTCTATTAGGGTCACTCCCTAAATGTCTGAATAGCCAGAGCTCAGCTGATCCAAAGCCAGGAGCCAGGAGCCAGGAGCTTCTTCCAGACTTTACAATTTTGTAAGGCTTTGGGTAGTCCTCCACTGCTTTCCCAGGCCACCGGCAGGGAGCAGATGGGAAGGGGAGCAGCTGGGCCATGAGCTGATGTCCATAAGGGATGTCAGTGCTGCAGATGGAGGATTCGCTTGATACGCCATGGTGCTGGCCCACGGTTTCAGAAAGTCTGCCTTTATTTTTCCAGATAGTTTTCAGATGGTGGACTGACCTGCTGTTTCCGTGAGTCCCTTTCATGCTCTGTTCCTTAGGTTCATGTCACTCTGTTCCGTGGTGGCAGTGTCTGTGGGTTTTAGTTTGTATGAGGACCCACGGGGTAGGGGATGGTGGCTGTGAGAGCCCGCAGGCTGAGCTGGACAGGGCTGTCCCATCCCCGCAGGCCAGCTGCGCCAGCTGTAGGGTTTTTGTAACCAAGTGATAGAGATGCGCTTAGCTGACATTCCGTAATCCTACCAGCTGGGAAAGCTGGACTCAAGCTGATGGCTGCTTGGAGCACCATGACAGCTGCGTCCTGCATTCTCTGTGAGGTAGGCTGGCAATTTAGCAGTTCCTTAATTTCATGATATGGGTATGCAGAATTTATTCTCCACTTTTTGTTCTTCTCCAGATTATTGTGGTCTCCTGGAATGGGCTGGAGCAGGCAAGGTCTTACTTGTGAGATGGTTTAACATTCTTGTTGTAGCAAGGATCCAAGCGCTTTCTGCCGTGTGTTTTCAGTGGCTGAGACCCTCAGCCATCCCACATTGCTGTCTTTTCTTGTAGGCAAGAAGGGTCTGCGTCTGAAGGAGACCTTCAAGGCCCAGGTAAGGAAACAAGTTCCTGCTCTGCTGAGTTTCACATCAGTGTGAATATCTGGGTCATCAGAGGTAGCAGGGGCCAGAGCATGTCTCACTATACTGTGATGCTTGTATAGGATTTATTTCAATTCACACACAGGAAGCTGCTCTTGGCAGCCATGTTCAGATTTAATTTAATGTTGGTGTTTGAAGCCTGCTGCAGGGACTGGTGTGTTTTCTTTGTTTGAGAATTTGCAGTTACACCAGTATTTCTGTGTATTAATCTTGTAACAGCTCAAACTAGATGATGACTAGCCATGGCCCTCCCTGAGAGCAGATGGACCCAAGGGAGGTACTTGGTTGTTCATCTTTGTCCCAGCTTCATTGAGCAATCATTGACAGAAAGAAACTGTGCATATTCAGGTGCATGCTGAAATGGCTTGATGTATACATATGTTATGTAATGGCCACATGTAATCAAATTCATCAGCATATGTATCATGACACACAGTCATTGTGTGTGTGTGGCAGAGAGAGAGAGAGAGGCAGTGAGGGGGAGGGAGAGAGGGGAGAGAAAGCTGCTGAAGCATATGATGCCATGTGCACATCAGGTCCCCAGGACCCGCTCATCTTTCCATCTTTCCCAGACTTTTGTGTTTTTTGGAAGGGTTAGAGCTTTCATTTGGGATGAGTTAGCACTTGCCTGTACGGCTTCATCCTGGCTCCACTCCATGCTGACTCAGCCCCTCTTACTTCATCCTGCAGGTGAAGAAGCTGCAGCCGTATCTAACCAGGTAGTTCAACAAGCCTGACAACAAGTCAGAAAGAAAAGCCGCCTTCCCTCCATCTGTTAGAGTCATCGCAACATGGATGTGTTTGTGTTGTCATCCTACAACTGCTGAATAGATCTGGATTTTTAATTTTAATTGAGAGGGAGGCATGAGAAGGAACATGGAGAGAGAGAGAGAGAAAGAGAGATCTCTATCAGTCACTTCATTCCGCAAATGTGCTGCACAGCTAGGGCTGGGTCAGAAGCTCCATCAGGGCCTCCCACGTGGGTGCTGGCCAAGGACCTGGGCCTCCCATGTGGGTGCTGGCCAAGGACCTGGGCCTCCCATGAGGGTGCTGGCCGAGGACCTGGGCCTCCCATGAGGGTGCTGGCCGAGGACCTGGGCCTCCCATGAGGGTGCTGGCCGAGGACCTGGGCCTCCCATGAGGGTGCTGGCCGAGGACCTGGGCCTCCCATGAGGGTGCTGGCGGAGGATCTGGGCCTCCCATGAGGGTGCTGGCTGAGGACCTGGGCCTCCCATGAGGGTGCTGGCGGAGGACCTGGGCCTCCCATGAGGGTGCTGGCGGAGGACCTGGGCCTCCCATGAGGGTGCTGGCTGAGGACCTGGGCCTCCCATGAGGGTGCTGGCGGAGGACCTGGGCCTCCCATGAGGGTGCTGGCTGAGGACCTGGGCCTCCCATGAGGGTGCTGGCGGAGGATCTGGGTCTGGTGTCACTGCTTTCCCAGGTGCAGGAGCAGGAGCTGCCTGGCTGGCCTTGCTGTCTGAGCTGGCTTTGCTGTGGGGTTGGCCCTGGCAGTCTCGTATCATTTTTCTTTGCTTTCTTTCTGTGCAATCACAGCTTTGTTTAAGCTCTGACTTTCATCATCAGCCATTCCCTAGCAGGGTTTGCTGCTGAGTCTTGCGTCCTTGCTTTGTACAGCCTTGTTGCCTAATGTTCTCAGTAGATGTGGCCTGGAGCAAGGACTGCTTCTCTGAAGGAAAGCTCCCTCTATAAACAGTGAGTGAGTAGTGGCTTGGATCTATGAAGGGTCTTAAAGAAGTTGATGGAAAATGTGCTGTGAAAAGTCTGTGCCCAAATTTTACATTTTTACACATATATAAGCGTCTATTTTCAATCCAAGTTCCAGAGTCTTTTTCAAAGCACCCTTGTATGCTGTTTATATGGGGTCTTAAGTCCTTATGGCTTGGACAAGGACCTTAGAAAATATTTGCATTTTTTTGGAATGGCTGGCAGAGGATGGAGTTCCAAGTTACAGTGTTACAGGGCTCCGTGATTGAGCCCAGGGGCACTATAACCGAGTGCAGGCCATGGCCGAGGGCTGAGGGTGGGCACCGAGATCCGGTGTCGCTGAGCTTGGGCCTGGGTCTTTCTCCCCTTGTGCTTGGCAGGAGTGTGACAACGGCAGCGGCTCAGAAGTGTGCTACACTGTCATTAATCACGCCCCTCGGAGGTCCTCGCTCAACTCCAATGATGACGGCGGCTATGAGAACGTGGAGGCCGCCTCCCGGAGAGTGAGGCCGCCCCGGGAGGGCTCGGAGACCGAGTACACGCTCCTGAGGACAGCCGCCCTCGGACCCTCCTCCTACAGCACTGAGCCCGACTACGAAGTTGTGCTCCCGCACTAGCAGCCCACCTGTCTCCTACACAGATGGGGTGCAGATGGGCAGCCTCGGGACACGTCTTCTCTCTCAGAAGCCCCTGGAGCATTCATCTCTGGCCAGAGACTGTGTGTTCTGCCGTAGGTTTTATTCTACCACTGTCAGCAGCTCTTGGGTGAGGCGGCTCTGCTTTGGTTGAAATGATGCTCCAGAGAGAGGCCCAAGACCTACCCAGGGCAGCAAGGGCACACACGTGTGTCTTGGGGTCCTGGCTCCAAATGTCAGCATCTCCAGGGACCTAACTCCTCTTTGAGGTGGGACTAACTCAGTACATTCAGCAATGTCAGACTAGCGACCAGACCCCTCAGTAGATGCATCACTGTCGCTTTTCTCTGTGTCCTGAGAATCTAGCTCACAAGCTGGGGTGGGGATTAAAGAACTGACAAGAAGAGGAACCGAATGTGTCACCAAGAAGAAACCATGAGAGGTTGCCTGCTCTGCTTTTCTGTCCAACAGTAAATTGTAGGATTCTCTTCAATGATTAGTCAAAAACATTGCTTAAAGTTGTGTTTACAACAAACCGGTTCATACCTGTGTATTTCTTTGAGGTAGTTCTAAATGGCTCACTTGCTTGTGTACAAGTTTTGCCCAAGTCTGGTGCTTCCTTGTGCTGATGGCAACATGTAGAAATCCTGTAGTTCTGGAAAACTCATCCTGTCCAAAGTATACGAGTAGAAATCAGCCAACTTTGGGAAAATGATGGAATTATTGACTTTTGTGCTTTTGTAGCCACTTTTGATATATAACACATATAATACTTAACATTCATGGATTATGGCATGCTTAGCATCGACACAGAATTTTTTGGGGCCTGGCTCCCATCTCTGCTCTCACCCACTCGGTGTGACTGGGAACTGGGCTGTTTATCTCTTCCTCCACCTGTCTTGTGGGCTGTGGAAATGGCATCCACACCGGACAGGGAATGGCCGGGTCAGGCACCGTCCCCTCCCATGCTGTTCCTACATCCTTATGTGCACTAGCATGTGCTCACAAACAGCCCAGACCTTGTGTTGAGATATACAAATGGGATCAACTGTTCAAAAATGCTTGGGCCTGGCGGCGTGGCCTCGCGGCTAAAGTCCTCGCCTTGAATGTGCCAGGATCCCATATAGGTGCCGGTTCTAATCCTGGCAGCTCCACTTCCCATCCAGCTTCCTGCTTGTGGCCTGGGAAAGCAGTCGAGGACAGCCCAAAGCCTTGGAACCCGCACCCGTGTGGGAGACCAAGAAGTTCCTGGATCCTGGCTTTGGATCGGCATAGCATCGGCCGTTGCGCTCACTTGGGGAGTGAATCATCGGATGGAAGATCTTCCTCCCTGTCTCTCCTCCTCTCTGTATATCTGACTTTCCAATAAGTAAATAAATCTTAAAAAAAAAAATGCTTGAGCACGAAAGGGACAGCTGTGCTGAAAATGGTGCCTACTCCGTCCTGGAGTTTACACATGAATAGTCCAACTCGGATCTCAGGCTTTTCACCATGTGGTGGCATCTGCTACTAGGAAAAGACTTGTTTTCAGCAAATTATCTGTGAAATTAGGCCTGCATCAATCCAGATACAGCATTTAGGGCTACATGCTTTTATTTTATTTTTGTATTAAATTGAGAAGAGCAGATATTACATTTCATCTTAGCCAAAATGTGAAGCGATTCTTTTATGTATTAAATAAAACAAGTTGCCAAGCAATGTTACATGGACCTTTACCTTGAAGGAAGTGGTATGGTTTTCCAAATTGCAAATATGTCGAGATGATATGTACAAGCAGAAATTGAATCTGCTGGGCAGTCCTGTGGCAGAGGTCACCGAGTCTCTGGTGGGGTCAGCCACCCTGGGTCCAGTGCCATGGCCTTTCAGGGTGGGAGCAAAGCCAGCCACAGGGTGCTCCTTCCGCACCAAGGGGGCACCCTGTGCCTGAACTTCCACAGGAGCTGAGAGGAAGGCCACGGTTAAGAAAGATAGAGCTTATGTCAGGATGCAGGGTTTGCACCTGTTGATTGCAGGCAAGCAAGTGAAAATGGGGACTGGGAATATTAGCAAAGCAGCATCTCTGAGAGCAGAAAGGAGTAGACATCTGGTGTATGCAGCTAATCCTCCGCCTGCAATGCCAGCATCCCATACGTGTGCTGGTTCCAGTTCTGGCTCCACTTCTCACCCAGCTCCCTGCTTATGGCCTGGGAAAGCAGTAGAGAATGGTTCAGGTCCTTGGGCCCCTGCATCCACGTGGGAGACCCGAATGAAGCTCCTGGTCCCTGGCTTTGAACGGGCTCAGCTTTGACTGTTGTGGCTATGTGGGAAATGAACCAGTGGATGGAAGATCTTTCTCTGTCTCCCCTTCCCTCTGTAACTTGGCCTTTCAAATAAAAATAACATAAATCTTAACAAAAGGGTGGGGGAGAGTAGAAAAGAGGAACAAAGAAGAAATGGTTAATCTGTCCCCCAAAACATGAAAGGGGCATTTTTCTGGTAGTGGGCAGAGTGCAGTGAGTCCCACCACGTCCTCCCTGGGGTCCAGGCCCAGCCCACCTGCTGCCTCTGTGGGCCAGGTATGCCAGGGATTCACCCAGGAGCCATCGCTCTGTGGCGGTCCACTGGTGACGCTTCTCTACTGCCCTGGGCAGGCACTGCTGCCTGCTCAGCGGGACGTGTTGGTAGTTTGAGAAGCTGTCAGGGCTGCCGTGCTCTTGGTGCATGGATCCCAAGTGCCACACAGTTGTGTCGGCGGGCATTTCCCACGGCCATACCCCGGCTCCTGCCTCAGTGCTTAACGAGTCCTCCTGTGTGTTCTACTGGGCACAGACGGTGGCCCTGGAGCCTCTGGGGTGTGTGATGCCGCATGAGCCAGTGCCTCCCAGCACACACAGTCTCCTTCCTGGGGGAGGGGGTCACTGAGGCTTCTCACCTCATTATTTCCCTGGGGCTGGAGTGTTGGGGCAGCGCATTTTCCTCCTCCTGTATAGGAGTCAGGTAAAGTGCTCGGATATTGGCGTATCATCCCTGGTTGTCCCTGGGCTGCACAGCCAGGGAGCCCCCTGCATGGCCACCCCGGGAGTCTCATACAGAGTCCCACAGCCTCCTGCCAGGAGGTAGGTAGGCTGTTGAACTCAGCCATAGAAATCTACTTTATTTTGTTTCTTTCTCTTTATTTTGGCCTTATGCCATTCTTTTCCTTTTATGCTACTAAAAAATACCAAATGCCAGAGCATGAGTGTAGCAGTTGACTTGGTTCAGGACATTCATCATTCATCTTGTGAATAGTGTGTTCTCACAGAGCAAAGCCACACCTTTAAGAAAGGAGATTTTCTTAAATATTGCACTCTGTCTAAGGTAGCAAATATCAATGCTCGTAAGTTAAATTAGATTCGCTCTGGGGGATTGGCTGTTCCGGCACTCACAGAAAGAGTTGCCAAGCTGGGCTTCATGCCAAGCCTAGAGTCCCCGCTTGCTGCCCCTTCCTGTAACGACGTACGGGAAGTGTAAGTGCATCGCTGCACTTAGACCAAATCTACAGAAACACCTCTTGCTCAAACAAGTCTTCCGCATCCCCAAAGCACCTTCCCGATGCAGCTCCTGAGGACCGCAGGCTGTCGCCGTCGTTTGCTCCGCCCATCTCCTGCGAGGTTGAGCATTTCCGCGAGGCTTTCCACTTACCCAGAGGTTTTGGAGATATACTTGCATGCGTCTTCCATTTCTCTACCTTTCTTTAGGAGGTTTTCCTGGATATAAAACGGCTGGGTCACACATTTCCTGTTTATTTTTTAATATAAAGAGAACAGATTTAAAGTAGTTCATAGATACAGTTCTAAGAACAACTACTTCCATTCTTCCCTCCATCTTTCTTTTTGCATTTTGAGATCATGTATCTTTAAATTTACAGTTGTAGTTAAGGCTTCATGCTCCACCAGGTGAAGAGTTCAACAGGTGAAAAGAAAAAAGATCAAGTTTAGTGGGATACGGGCTGGGGTGCTAGGACAAACTGGAACACAGGTTACAGCGCTAGGACCAGCAGGATCACAGGCTGGGGCGCTAGGACCTGCAGGATCACAGGCTGAGGTGCTAGGACCAGCAGGATCACAGGCTGGGGCGCTAGGACCAGCAGTCACGGAGATGTTCAACTTAGCATAGACAGTGAATGTGGCCGATTAGGTGTAGCAGCACCTCAAAGGCAGGCACCACATGTTCCCTTCCCCCCTTGATGGGAAACTGAAATTCAACAAGTAATAAAAGTGCAGAACAGAAGCAGAGGGAGATGCGCCTGGGTGTGCCAGGGTCGCTGCACAGTGTTGTACACTCTTTTCACCTGGGATTTTCTTTTTCACTCTTTTGTATAACTTGCCCAAATATTAGAGAAAATGTGTTATTTGTCTCATTAGGTCTGGTCTATTTCACTTGAGATAATAATTTCCAGTTGCATTCATTTGGTTGAAAATTTTAGGATTTCATTTTATGGCTGAGCGGTATTCCATTTTGTGCTTGTGTGTGTGTGTGTGTGTGTGGTGTCATTGTCCAGCTGACAGCTGCTGGACCTCCATGGTCGGCTGTGGATCTGGGTTGCTGTGAATGGAACTGCTGTAAACCTGTGAGTGTTGATTTCATTTCCTTGGATTCAGTCCCAGGAGTGGGATGCTGGCACTAAGGAAGATTTAGTTTTAGTTTTCCGAGGCCTCCCCACACTGTTTCCTACAACGGCTATTCCAATCTCTATTCCTACCAACAGTGTGTTAGGGTGGCTGTCACCATTGCCTCGTCCTTGTTTGCTTTTTCTGGTTCTGGGACCAGCCCTTCCAGCTGGGGTGAATGGGCTTTCTTTGCATTTCTCTGGTGGCTGACAAGAGGAGCGTTTGTCCATGTGACTGTTCAAACTGCTCTCGTGTCCTTGGGTTGTTGGTGAGTGGCAAAGCCGTCAGCTTGCACTGTCTGTGGCCTTTGGGATAAGGAAGTTTCACTTATGCCTTTTTTTTTTTTTTTAAAGGAAACTGTATGTGTGTGTGTTTTTTGTTGGATTATATTTTATTTTTAAATCAATTTCTATTTGTAAGTGTGTATTTAATTTGAAAGACAGAAGGCATAAGATAGAGACCTGCCATCTCCAAGTTCTCTGCTGGGCTGGGCCAAGTTTAGGGCCTGGAACTCCCTCCGGGGCTCCCTGACAATTTCAGCTGGAGTTGGATGGAGCCAGCACTTGAACCCAGCACTCTCATCAGGGCTGCGGGCTCTAAGAGGTGGTTCAGTCTATTGAAGGTGCCCCTAGGTTGGTGGCCCTTGGAGGTGCGGAGCCCCTGGCCAGGTGCACTTTCTTGGACACCAAGAAAGTGAAGGAAGAGGAAGCAGAATGTAGGCTTCTGTGGGCACTGGAGTGTCCTGTGGGGCCTAATGGGACCATGGCTGTTGATGACAGGAGGCAATTGGGTGGCTCGTCTAGATGGCAGGTGTCTCTCTGAGAAGCATTTGCCACTATCTGTGCTGGCTGCCAGTGGGGCTAGAACCCTCCCGTGGCCACTGAGACACACCTCTAGGAGCCCACTGTACAGCTGTCATCTGGGATGCTTGTGGGTGTTCCCCGCTCTGCAGTAGGCTCAGTCAGGGGGGTAGGAGGGCCTGGCTCTTGGCTCTCCTGTTCCCCTGGTGGGCTCTCACCCAGTGAGGAGCCATGGGGTCCTTCAGGATCCCTAGCCGTGTAGCCAAGCCAGGACTGATAGTAGTTAATGTTGTATGATGTTTACTTCATTCTAGAATGAATCGGGAAAAGGAGACATTTGCTTAGCTGTGGATGACATTGAAGAAGCAAATCTGGCCTATCTGGTCGTCTGCGGGAGGTTGCAGGGTGGCCTGCCTCGCTGGCCGTAGGAGGCAGCATTGTTGTCAGTGTTGGCCTCTCTCTGCTCTGAACACCAGAGCAAGCTGAGGCCTCTGCAGAATGTGTGATGTTTATTTAGGGAAATGGAGAGACCAGGCCGGCAGGTGTGAAGATGTGTTGTCCAGAGTAGACACAGGCTGTGCCTCCTGGGAGTCACCCCAGCCCTGGGGCATCTGTGTTGTCCACAGCTGCGCCTTGGCATTCTGGAGTGTGCCTCGCCCATGGGGCTGGTGAGCAGCAGTAATGGCAGTGAGCTGGCTGGCTTTCTCCTGCTGGGCTTTGCCGACCACCCCCGGCTGCAGAAGGTCCTCTTCCCTGTCACTCTGGCCTTGTATTTGCTCACTCTCCTGGGCAACGCTGCCATCGTGCTGGTATTCCACCTTGATTCAAAGCTTGGCACACGCCCATGTACTTCTTCCTCACCCACCTGTCCATGCTGGACCTCTGCTTCTCCAGCAGTGTAGTGCCCCAGCTGCTGGTCAGCCTGCATGATCCTCTGAGAGCTATCACCTATGGGGGCTGTGTGGTCCAGCTCTATGTGTCCCTGGCCCTGGGGTCCACGGAGTGTGTTCTGCTGGTGGTGATGTCCTATGACCGCTATGTGGCCGTCTGCCGCCCACTGCACTATGCTGTCATCATGTGTCCCCGGCTCTGCCGCCTTCTGGCGTCCCTGGCCTGGCTCAGCGGGGTGGCCACCACCCTGATCCAGTCCACCCTCACCCTGCAACTACCCTTCTGTGGGCATCGCCAAGTGGACCATTTCATCTGTGAAGTTCCTGCGCTCATCAAGCTGGCCTGTGTGGACACCACATTTAACGAGGCAGAGCTCTTCGTGGCCAGTGTCCTCTTCCTCGTGGTGCCCGTGGCACTCATCCTGGTCTCCTATGGCTGCATCGCCAGGGCGGTGCTGAAGATCCGGTCAGCCATGGGCCGACGGAAAGCCTTGGGCACCTGCTCTTCACACCTGCTGGTGGTGGTCGTCTTCTACGGCACCATCATCTTCATGTACCTGCAGCCAGCCCAGAGCAGGTCCCAGGACCAGGGCAAGTTCGTGTCCCTCTTCTACACAGTGGTGACGCCCGTGCTCAACCCACTCATCTACACCCTGCGGAACACAGAGGTGAAGGGGGCACTGAAGGCACTTCTTGGCAAGGTTTCGGGAGTGTTCACATGACTGTCAGTGTAATGATCATCTCCCTGTGGCAAAAGCAGGCTTTGCTGGCAGACTTTTGGGTCAATGTCACTTGGTTCGATACTTACCCATAGCTCTTGCGTGTATGAACCGCTGCAGGACACTTCCCTGACCTCAGCTCTGCTGTGACCGGGAACAAAGTGAGGTGTGTCACGCAGTCAGTGTACCCACTGTGGGTTTTTCTAAACACAGGACATGCTGAGCCTGACCAAGCCCTTCCTACTGGTTGCAGAGGACTCAGCCCCTTTTGGGTCCTCCCGAGGCTCTCTGCTTGGCAGGGAGATGTGAAGCTGGTTTCCCTGCTGCTTTACAGCCCCCCCTGGACTATGGAGAGATGGGCTGAGGTGCACAGCAAGTAGAGAGACCGGGACGGTGGCCAGGCTTCTGAAGGGCCCTGGCTCTGCGTGGGTCCTTGGGCCCACCTTAGCCGGCCTGACCCTGGTGTCACGCTCATGCTGTCCACGTGCTGTCTTCTCCAGCTTGCACAGACACACACAGGGTGACTCTGCTCATAGAGCAGCCATGCGTTCTCTGTGGGAAACATTCCTTCAGAATCTGCAAATTCCAGCTCAGATGAAAATGTACTCAAACCACAGGAGCAATTTCCACCAAATGTCACTAATCGTTTCTCAGAACTTCACTCTGAATGACTTTTCCTTTTGTCTTGTATTTTCTGCAAATGAGGATTTTTTTTGCATTTGGATTCTAGGGGAATTCCATGATTTTTAAAAAAAAGATTTATTTATTCCTATTGGAAAGGCAGATTTACAGAGAGAAGGAGAGATAGAGAGGAAGATCTTCTACCACTGGTTCACTCCCCTGATGGCTAAAATAACCCAGGCTAGACTGGTCTGAGGTCTGAAGCCAGGAGCTTCCTCCAGGTCTCCCACGTGGGTGCAGGGTTCTGAGGCTTTGGGTCGTCCTCCACTGCTTTCCCAGGCCACAGGCAGGGAGCTGCAAGGGAAGTGGAGCCGCTGGGATACAGATAAGCACCTATACGGGATCCTGGCACGTGGAAGGCAAGGACTCTAGCCACCAGGCTACTGCACCAGGCCCCATGATATTTCTATTTCTCATCCTTACAGCAAGGCTAGGAATGCATAGTGTTCATCAGAAAATGATCATCCATTCACTGTGGCCCTGGCAGCTCTAATTGTGACCACGTCATTCACTGTGACCTCCTCGTCTCTCACTGTGACTTCCTCAGGCTGGGGTAGATGAGGAAGTGGACCCCCATGAGGCAATGGCCAGGCAGCCCTGATGCCAAGCGGAGCTCCTGCCACCTGCACTCCAGGCTGCATGATCGTGTGCTCCAGCAAGGACCCCACCTGCAGCTCCCTCAAACTGCCCACTGTCCTACGGATCCTGGATGCTTTATTCTGAGGATGATGGAGGTTTGGCTCGGGTTCCTCGTCCAGACCTATCAGGTCTGGGACAGAGAAGACGAAGCGCCTACAACATGCCCTGTTACTGTCACGGCCCTTGCTTCATGCTACCCTGCAGTCTTCTCCTCGTCCCAGCAGCAGCCCTCTCCTGCACTGTGAGGAGAGGTTGTCCTGTGTCCTCCCAACCTGCCCTGGGAGTCCTGGTTGCTCTTGGTGTGTGTGTGTGTGTGTGGTGGGAGGGGCAGCCTTCCCCTCCTCCCAGCAGCAGCCCTCTCCTGCTCTGTGAGGAGAGGTTGTTCTGGGTCCTTCCAACCTGCCCTGGGAGTCCTGGTTGCTCTTGGTGTGTGTGCGTGGGGTGGGGGAGCAGGGTTGCCCCATCTCTGCCTCGGGGTCTGCAGTCAGCTAGCCTTTTTCAAAGAAGAAACTTAAAAAAAAAATTGGTTGCCATGTCCCTCTTCACAAGAACAGATGTTCCCTCTGTCAGCAGGCTTACTTAGGGGGTATGGCTGATGCCTGGGGAGTGGGGTGGGTTCATGGACTCCGAGGCCTGAGTGCCCACCAGGGTGGCCGTGGGCAGCAGCAGCAGCAGCCAAGTGTGTTCCTGGAGTGGCTCGGCTTCCCTGTGGCACAATGCATGTTCCCCACCGGGGGAGTTCTCTGACAGATGAGGAGGGGCTGGGGGCAGAAATCCGTTCAGATGGACCGTGGGATCTATTGATGTCAAAATCAAGGATAGATGCATCTTGCAGGAACCAAGTATCATTCGCTTTTCAGAGCACAGGCTCTGTCTACAGCCATACCACCCTGAATGCGCCCAATCTCGTCTGATCTCGGAAGCTAAGCAGGGTCGGGCCTGGTTAGTACTTGGGTGGGAGAGCACAACTTAGGTGAGAGGAGAGATTCGAGGGTAACTGGCCCTGGCTGCGTGAGCACTGTGGGCTGTGAATGGCTGAGGAGGACCAGGAGCCCCTGGGGATCACAGCATGGTGACACCTGCTTGGGGAGAGCACAGGACTGGAAAAGGACTGGCAGGAGAAACAGTCTTGCTGCCTGTAGCCCCTGGATGAGATTCCGGGGCTGAGGTCTAAGCATCAAGATCCCTGAGCCCTGGGAGGAGCTGGGCTCTTGCCACTTGTCTCAGACAAATGTTGGGGCAAGGCAGAGGGAAACTTGAATCTAATTGGTGAACTAATTAACAAATTAATAACACCTCTAATATAATAATGATCTGAGTGACACCTGTCAGTAAGCAGTCTCCAAATCTGATCCTAACCTTGAACCTAACTCTAACCCTGAACCTAACCCTAACCCTGACAGCCCTAACCCTGAACCTAACCCTTTCAATGAGTACTGTCACATGCCAAGAGAAGCCATGGTGATCTATCATTTACTTATGTATTTATTGAAATGCATCACATTAAAGTCTCTTTGGGGTTGTTTACATTATGTCTGACTCTGTTTTTTAAAAAATTGTCATTTATTTATTTGGAAGGCAGAGTTATATAGAAAGAAGGAGAGCCAGAGATCTTCCATCTGCTGGTTCACTTCCCAAATGGCCACAACAGCTGGGGCTCTGCCGATCTGAAGCCAGGAACCAGGAGCTCCTTCTGGGTCTCCCACATGGTGCATGGGTCCAAGGACTTGACTCGTCCTCCACTGCTTTCCCAGGCCACAAGCAGGGAGCTGGAAGGAAAGTGGAGTGGCTGGGACTCACACTGGCGCCCATCTGGGACGCTGATGCCACGGGCAAGAAGGTGTGTTTTACAACAGAACACGACATGCTCCCACTTTCCAAACAATGACAAAGTGATGTTGGCGCGCCTCATGTGGGAGACTCCAGGGCATGTTGCCAATGGTTGTATCTAGTCCTGGCTTGGTGACTGTGAGTTGGACATGTGTAAGGTGATTTCCTTCAATGAATGGGTCCATGGCACTGTGTCCCACGGGACAGGGTCCACAGGGTGCAGGCAGCACTTGGTCCAGAAGACGAGCTTTGGTCTTTAGAGCTCTCTGTTCGCAGCTCTCCACACTTCAGCTGCACTAACCTTTTCTTCCTGATTTAATACATTAGTTACGTTAGAGCAGAGAATAGCTTCCTTCAGCTCAGAAGTTGTACAGAAACCCCGCTGGTTGTCCTGAAGCTAAGATTCAAGATACACCAGTATTGAGGTGTTCACAGCTGCAGTTAGCTTATCGGACGTAGGTGTGAAGGAGATGAAGGTATCATAGTCAAATCTGGGTGGACCAACGCTCCTAACTTGTGCAATGGCAGCAGTGGTGAACCCTGCTTTCCACAGGAAGCGCAGTGGTGAGAGCAGAGTCAGACCCAAACACAGCGGACTCGAGGTCCACCTGCAGGTGGCCGCGGCAGCCTGTCGCTGGATGCAGGTCAGTCGTCAGGAGGACGTCCACTCGTAATGGTTGCTGCAGTCAGCTGAGGCCTCCACGGGACGAGGTGGGGATCTGCAGTGGGGTCAAGAGCACGGCGCCTGAAGACATGTTTCAGACAACAGCTTCAGGTTTCTGCCTGCTTTCTGAGGCACAGAGCCCAGCACGGTCTCCAGGGGGCAGTGGGATGCTGCACACTGAGGTCAGGGTAGGCCTGATGCCCGACGACCCCACAGGAGAGTCGCTTCCTCGGCTCATGTCTGCTGGGGACCCAGGTTTTCCCTGAAGACCCAGTAACCAAAAGCCAGCCTGGAGCTGTCCCTGAGGCAGCCAATTTCCACACCATAGGCCCCTAAAAATGGTCAAAAGCACTTCCGTTACTTTTTCAGGATTAGCTCTGGTCAGAAACCTGGGCCTGTGGCACAGCTTGGTTTGCAGCTGGCTGTCTTGTGGATTGGAAATTAATTGGCCGCAAGGACGCATAGTTGAGCAGACGCTGGCGCTCTGGCTTCCTGGAGAGGTGAAAAACGGGAGTGCACTCTCGTGTACTTGACAGTGGCAACCTGCGTTTTGCTTCAGGCATCCTCGTGCTGTGAACGGTTTACGGAGCTTCACGCGTGGATCCACAGGGTTCTTGCATTAGAGTAACATGACTGTTGGACACTGGTGTGTGTTTTTTTGTTATTCTCCATACGTGCCATTCGGAGACTGACTGCACTTTAAAATGAGAAATTCTCCAATCAGAATCCAGCAGAGAGTGACGATAACCAATCAGAAGCCAGCAGAGCGAGGTAAGCTCCTGGTGGTGACTGTGATGGACAGAGGACAGGTAGGAGACACGCTCAGCCCCACAACAGCACAGCTCCGGCTGCGGGGTGGGCGCTGGCGTCTTGTGTTGGCACCTGCTCAAGCGCATCACCCACAGCGCTCGGCTGCTCCATCATAGCCTGGCTGCCTGTGTTGCAATTTGTTTCTGACATCTCATGGTGCAATTGCCCCCCAGCTCAGCGGGTCCCACCAATGACCCCTGGTGATATGGACTGTTGGGGGGATCTTGCTGTGCTGTGGTGAGGGTTGGGTACAGGTGAAGTGCATGGTTTCCAGTGGGTAGGGGCAGGAGGACCCGGACTCAGCCATGTGGAGCAGCTGTCAGAGCACAGGTGTGCCCAGGGAGGCGTGTGGGGGCAGCAGGCGTCCAGGTGGCACTGGGAGGAAGTCAGAGGAGGAGGGCTGGATGCCCTGCCCCCTCTCGGCTCAGATCACCACAGGTCTTGTCTTTGTCCTTCATCTCATCAACTCTAGGCAGTCAGGCAAGATGTTGCAAGTCAGTTACTGAAACCACTCTTGTTTTTGATTTCTTAGCAGGGAGTTTCCAAGTCTTCCACACCCTAAACTGTGGACTTCTTTGCTTTACAACCATTGTTTTTTCTCCCTTCCCACAT